ATATTTCGTTACGTTTAAAGCTGCAAGCAATCTTTGTGTAATATATATTTTTCGAAAGCGAATACAGGAGTGCCAAATATATATTCACATGAAAGTCGCGCAGTAGATCGTATCTACGGACCAATTTATGCGAACCTTATCGCGGATAATTGAAATCTTCTCGTTATCTCGATCGTTTTATTTAACGTTGGGAGCATTTCGTACTTCTAGAGCTATCAGATTTTTATCTGATCGCGAGGGAGCTATAAATCGCGGATACTAACGATTGTCTCGATCTATGGAGAGTGAGCGCAAATCTTATCGCGAACCCTTGAAAATAAATCTAAGAGGAAGCCACTAATGAAATCCGGTTGTTTCTTACGAGAACGTTTTACCGGCGGTTTAAAAAATGCTGTAAAGTTTCTTCGTATTTCCCGCAAATTCGCAGTCCGAATTTTAACGAATTTAACACCACGCGATACGAACAGGCGAGAAAATAGTTGCCTATATATGTTTCTTTTTATAATCTTATTTAATTAGGGCTTATTTGAAATTTTCGCTTCCAGAGCTCTTCAAACTTTAAATACTTTAATTCGATTGCATTTCGAATAGCTTTTTCACAGCTCTACAAATAATTGAGACTTTATTATATTGTGATTTACAATGCCAACAGTAATCAATGACTTAACGATAATTTAAATACAAATACAAAACGCAACTATCGTACTTAAATGAATTATGGCACTCAATTCTTATTTATTCTGCAAGAAATAGCTGAGTTACATACACTTTTCCAGCAATTTCTTGCAGAATAAGTACAATATTTGCTTGTCTCTTTCAGTCCGTACTGCCGATTTATAAAAGGTTCTCTGCTTAAGGCATTTATTCGGTGGTATTACTAAATTTTATTTGGTGGATTATTAAAAGTCTCACGTTTTTACTTCAATAATCTAGCTAGTCACCGTTTTGCTCTTGGCTAATAGTCTTATCTAAAATTCTACTTACATGCGTAATCGGTATGTATCGAATTGTTGAATACAAAAAACGATTCGCATTTGATTCGATATTTGAAGTAAATCATGACGTCGTCGCGGACAACGAGCTGTCTCGTGCCAATGATGAATCGTTTGCAGGCAGTGTTTCTCTCTCATTTTTACTGTCTTCCCAATCGAAAACGTTCACACCGATTTACTACGTAAAGGGGCAAAGTGATGTCCCTTCTTATTTACATTGCGCTACAATTCTTCTTAATCTCAAATCATTCTTGACGTCCCTAAAAATGATCTGTGCACGTTCGATGGTATGATTCGTCTCGGAAGTACATATACGTATAATTCTCTCGAAATCTATTCTTTTTCGATATATTAAAACGTTAATAAAATATACCAGCGGATTCTAAGATACGCAAAAGGGTTTTACATTTGTGAGTCTCAGGAATACAGTTTGTAAGACTTTATACATGAGACACCCTGTATGTATAATTACATACGCGACACAACTTGATTATAATAAACACTTGTTTAGTAGTGTGCTTTCTCGTTACAATTTGAATTTCTTTTGCGTTAGTGCAGACGTAATGCAAAATGAATGTGATAGAAGCGCGAGTAAAGGCATGCTTATTTTTTTTAAGTACCAACAATCCTCCACAAAAGTACTTGGAATAAACTTAAGTTCTCTTTTAAATCAATCGCTTTTTCGATAATATCTGCAAGTTAAAAATTTTTTGTTATTCGCACTTATCGATAGCATAATTATTTTATGTACATTCAAGGAGCAGCGTGTATTATTTTTTGCCCCATATACACATAGTTCAATCGCTCGTACATGTATAAGTACGTATAAATTCTTAATCAAGTATTCCAATTACTTCTTTTACATATACAAAGGAGGTTCTTTTGCTAGCTATCTCTAATTGGATTTAAAAAAAAAGAGGAATAAGGCTATTGAAACAGAGTCTCATATTGCCGAGGCACACAGTGCTTGGTTATTAGCAATTTGAAATTAAATAATAATCTATTGGCTGTGTGTTAATTTCAGCGAATAAAATGGGTGGGTTTTATCGTCTTAAAATACGTGCATAATCGCTTTAAGTATGTGAGCAAGCAGTTGCTCAACGATAGCATCAATTTTTTGTTTTAACGTGGTATATTGATCGAGGAATAAATGTAAATGTTTTTTGATATAAATTCTTGAAAAACTTACTATTTATCATGGTCTAGCGATATACGCAATTTTCTATTTTACTAACTATAGCTTACGACAAGTCAAAATTATTTGAAAAACTTATTGCAAAAAAATATTCTTTTTAATCTCAAGTGATCTCCCCCTAATATTAGAAATTGATTAATATCCTGCGAAAATTAAAATAGTATATAACGTTAATAAAACCTTGAAGGTTTAACGGTTTAAAATATAAATATATTTAAATATAAATGTAACGTGTTCCCCTGGAGTATAGAAACATGACACTTAAATAATGAAAAAAATGAAAGAAAATTTAGAGAAGATTTAAGATCAAAGAAGATCTAAGAAAAGAAAATTACAAAATTACAAATATAAAGATAAAAATTAATCTATATCTATATCTTTAAAACAATAAGTTTTAGCAATTGAATAAGCCGTATAAAGTCTTACTTATATAAATCCATTCACATCAGAGCGGTGCGCAATATTTCTAATTATAAGTTGAAAGTATAATTATTTTATACATATTAAAGTCTTGTGAGAAGTCGGATTCTCTTTATAAGAACAGTGCGTATGAAACGGCGTCGTTTCGCCTTGTTAGCGTTTCCACTTTCGACCATTTTTACACATTTTTTTGGTTTTTCTCTCGCTAAATAGAAAACTCTACATATCAATAGTACTCGTAGGTAATTTCTTCTTACGGATAAGAAAATGTTATTCCACCAATATATAAAGCGCTAAATTAATGCATATATAGCATCGACTGTTTCTTGTTTCAAGCAGAAATGCCACGTTTGTTTTCTTATTATTCCACTGAATTCTTCATTGAATATTTAACATGACTTTATGTAAATTCTCTAGTCGCTTCTATATGTTAAAACTTCTCATATCTATATAAATATCATTTTTACAGTAATCCAAACAAAAATCTACTCGTATTTTACACGCAAATGCAATAGGCATACGGAAAATTAATATATTACGATTAATTCAGATTTGTTATAACTTTACAAGGCTGTTTTTGCATAATTCTGTCTGCATTATGTTTCATAAAAGTAATTTGCCTTACTTTGCCAACGTTGGAATAGACTTCTTAAAATATGTCGCAGATAACTTATTCCTAACGATTCGAGAGTTGAAAAGAAAGACGAGATTATTAAATATAATACATTTTGTAAGTGCAAGAACAACGTCGCTATTATATCTTTTATCTGTAGTTTATTTCTATATTGTAGTATAAAACTCTGCGATATTAAAACAGTGAGTTCGGATATCTGCATTTATTGTGCATCCTCATTAGGCTCTTTTATGAAATATATGTAACAATGACGTGGATATAAGACGTTACACATTGGTCTTCGTACCAATGAGCTCTTGAGCTTGAGCAAACAATTGCAATTGAAACGTATCTTTTTTCCTCACAAAGTACATGCATATTTATTAGATACAATTTCACATCGTAAGTGTATCGCACATCTTGACGCAGTCTTGTCAAATTATTTTAAAATATTCAAGTATTAATTTTACTTGAACATTTTAAAATAACTTGACAAAGATTGCTCATGTAAAATTGTTGTTTAATAATAACTCGACTTTAAATTGATCTGTACGTGAAAAGAAATTTGGAACTTCTTACTTCCAATTGCATTTACGAAGGAAAGTCCTCTATTATGAGTTAGTTTTCTAATATAATATAGCAGGTTTTCAACACTCAAATTTAACTACAAATTTTTTTTTCGCACCGATTACATGATCTAACAATGCATTTTTCACTACACAAATTACGCTCCAAGAGCAATAAATTCATGGAATCAACTGATGATGCACTGAGGAAAAAAAACTGTTGAGTCAAGAAAATATTTCTTGATTCAATTATATGCTGCAGTCACAGGCTGCCAAACAAATATTTGTTAATTCACGTAAACATTTGTTAACTAAAAATATATATATTTGAATAAATTATGTATGTTTAATTGAGGAACATATACATTTGAATTAAAGAAATACTGTTAACTAAACATATTTAGTAATATCAACAATTTTTCCTCAGTGTGCTTATTAATTTAACAGAAACCCCGCTATTCCATATTAGGATCCAATCTCATAATAGGGGACTTGCCTCTATATCCCTGAAAAATGATGAAGGAAAGCATATGTCTGAGAAAGAAGCAGTTTTGTGTCTGAGTGCACAACTTGTAAATGCGAACACTCACGCGTGAATAATTAATCGTGGAAAACGGGATTGGATGCGGGCACGAATGACGTTAACACTCGCAGAGTGCCTCGCTGTGATTAAACATCTACATGTATATCGTCGAGAGCGGCGCGATTAGTATCCTCGTTGGTGCCGTAATTAATTTCCGTAATCGATCTCGTCGCGACGAGAGCTAATCGCGGTGTGTCGACACACGCTTGGCGTACGCTCGCCTCGGAGCACGGAATTCGCGTTTCCCTGCTGTTGCATCCGGCGAGTTCAAGCTTCCTTATGCGAATCGAAGTAATGAAGACGACGACAGTGTTGTATAGTAACATTCACATTCGATGACGTGTTCGTTAATCAGCGTTTCATCGCGGTTCCATATCTCGGACGAGATCTGGCAGGCTTTTAAAGTGCGCGAATTCGAAGCGATTCTGTCGATCGTGTCGATGATAATGGCTTGTTCTGTCGATCGTGACGTCGTCGCGATTGTCCTCCTCATCTTCCTCCTCCTCCTCCTCCTCCTCCTCCTCGATGCGCGAAACTCGCCCTCGTGCCAGCGAGGATGCGACGTGGTCTCGCAGATATCGATGCGTAGATGACGGATATTGTGCCCGATAGTTTTGGAGCATCGGATGCCGGCTTGCCGCCACGCTGTACTAACTGGCGTCGTCCGGAGATCCGAAATCCTCCGTCTGCGTGGCGGCATCTTTGGCTGGAAATCGTTAGCGACATTTATAAACTTGAATATGTTAGCTGAAAAGTTTTAATAATTAGGAAGATCGAAATTCAATTTTAAGATGAAAGCTTTTCCCATTTTCCTGTAACTTAAGAATTATTGATGCATGCATATTTTCGTTAATGGAAAGCTGTTGGCAAATTGATTAAAAATATTAAATTTTACCGCGATGATGATAGATTCTATATAATGTAGAACAATGTAGATAGCAGCGAATAATAGAGTAGAAGCATATATTTATGCGGCTTATATACCTCACGTGGATGCTACGTCACTATGTGTTATATGTCCGGTTTCCCAAGGGAGCGGTGGTGGCGTATTCGCTAATGATAACGAGGAACAACGCGCCATTGAGCATCGTTCCATTGAGCAACGCTCTAAACCTGAAATAAAAAAATCCAAACGATAAATGAAAGTCTCTCTCTCTCGTGCTGATTACGATAATATTCCCTATTAATGGGATTGCATTATATAACGTGTAATAATTACTTCCGCGCAGCGTAAAATATCGTTGCGAACAATAAATTCGAAGCGAGTGTGCGAGCTAATTTGTTTCGGTTTTGCACATTTGGTTTCAATCGGATCGATAATTAAATATCGCGACATATTTCCTAACGCGGTAATTTAGCGATATTCTCACGAACAGTACTGTGACGGAATTACAAATGAATACAATTTTTTTACAAGGGCATACATCGCGTTTATTCTTTTTAACTTTGTGTAGATTAAAAAACCTTATTATCACATAGAGAATAACATGATTCTTTTTATGTATACTATACTATTCTCTTCTTTCCTCCGAGCACAGCTAAACATTGAATACATTGTTTTCGAGGGGGAAACCGCTGAGGGTATTGTGGTGTACAGATTTGCGACATTACTGGGCATTACTAGGCATTGCTAGTCATTGTTTGGGCATTAGCTTGGACGTTAGATCTTGCTGGGACATTATAAAGATAAAATAAGATAATAACATAAACTAAATGCCCACTGGGCATTAGTGGGCATTGGCGTACAAGATTTTGGTCAGCGGTTTCCCCCTCGATTACTTTATTTGATATTATGAGACACAAAATCGTAACAAAAATTTAATTAATTAATTAATTTACAAAATGTGCATATATTTATTTTTGCTTTAACATGTTAATCTGTATATTACTTGGTATTAGGATATTGATTTTAGTACATACAATTACATTTGATCTTTTAGCTTTTATCTCAATTCAAAACGATGAAAGTTAAAAACTTTGTCTAATAAGTGATGATAATAATCAAATTGCCAGAGAACAATTGACATTTTGCTTAAATGTTTCGCGAATGCCAAATACGTTATTGAGTAATTAATAGTATTAGTCGTAAGTTCGATACGATATGTCGATATGTGATTTCAAACATGATTACGGCGCAGCTCGCATTTATACGTATATGATGACGCTGATTATATCACTAGTGATCACATTAAATCTTCGTTTATGGATGTCACATGGAGCGCGAGAATCCAGTTAATGTTGATAATGGATGCCGTCAAAAGGCTGATTCCCCTCGGTTTAATTAGCACAAAACACTGATTATGTTAATCCTCTCGCTACCGGCGCGAGATCATCAATATAAAGGCAACCAGATGAATTTTCTCGTAATTAACATGATAGATAGGTTCAAAGAGTGTGAAAAAACTCATTGTTAAGAAATTACTTTTTTATTAGAATCCAATCTTTTTCATTAAAAGAAAGCACGCGTATAAATTACATATGTTTTAAAATTAAATACAAATATACATTTCTATTTGCTACGAAATGTCGATACATATTAAATTTATCGCGCGGAAATTTTTCGAGCAGACTGACTGTTTTTTCAACGCGATATTATAATATGACACTCGTTTAGCATACCTGATAAGTCGACGCCCGCGATGCTGCAAACATCTAAGCCACCAGTGCTAGTCGCGCAGCAGTGTTGTTTCGTTCCTAACGGCTTAGACCTGCACAGAATCTGCATATAAAAAGGAAATTAAAATTATCCGAATTATCAATCATGACGTGCATCGATGGTTGAATAATGCTTGTCAGTTTGCGAACGATAAATCAATCGCCTCAAGTAAGAGTATTTTATAAGCTTTATCGATTACCTGTGTGATAAGGTTGAAATATTTCCCGAAAGCAGAGAATAGATAATAAATAGCCGAGATATCTTAAAGCTCCTTGATAATCGAACATCACCACGATGTATTCAGGCATGTATTTATAAACTTCATTTATCAGATTAACATAAAGTAGCTTCTAATTGTAAGCGATATATATTGCTTTCATAAACTTTGCAGCACGGAATGCTTCGGAATAGAATGCTTGAAATGCAACGTCGGTCCTCAAGGAACATAGCTAAATATGCAAATGTACATTTGGCAAACTATTTCCTACATTGTACAGTATTACAGCACGAGTTAAAACAATATATCAATCGTTTAGTAGAAATTTATCTGTTTCACAGTAGCATACTATTAAAGCTACATTTTGCCACATCTTTTTCTCAATTTATATCATGGAAACTAACTTTTCTATAATAATCTCCCCCTTTTTCTTTTTTTAAAGAGGATAAAATAAAATTTATCATAATTAATACAAACTATCTTTACACTATATAAAGTAGTATAAAGTCTACTTGATTATGCTAGTTAATTTAGGCATATTTACAATCTATTACATGCAAAGTACACTTTTATGTTATTTTAAATAGACAATCGAAACGAATATAAGAAATTCACCAGTACTCGTGATTTGCACATAATCTTCAATAAATTGTTTGATATAAATTTTACGGACAATATCTAAGTCAGTAAAAACCAGGATTTAACCGTAATATCCGGCGTATTCTCAAGGTATTTACTTTAAGAGCATATCTATACAGAGCGATTCTCATAAACTGATCGATTTATTGCTTTACTAAAACATTAGCACAGGATACTATGCAACATGCCATAAAATTTAATATACATGAAATTATATATGTATATATAAAAGGAACGACGCGAGTTTATACTTTAACTCTTTAATTCTTCTTACGTATATTCTGCAGTAGTCACTCGCATGTCTCCATTATTAATGATAAATTCTTCGTCGAATCGTAAAGTCGGTTTGTCTTAATTAAAACTTCAAGGCAATGCATTCTTTTTGTGGCTTTTAAATACCGGACATTAATTATTTGTAACAAAATCTGATATCGAAACTTAAAAAATACGTTTTTATATATGTTTTTATATACGTTTTCTTATATGTTGTTTAGTTTTGGTGAGGGGTCTTACTCTAAGTTTATTATTCTTTACACGCTTGCCTACAAACTAGCGTTCCTTTAAGTATTATATCAATTACTGCGAATAATATTATCGCAGCCTCAGTGGTCGACTTGGCTAAGACGCCCGTTATGGATTGAGGGAGGTCCCAGGTTCGAATCCTGGCCGAGGTAATATTTTTCGCAATAAGAATAATTTACAGTACCGGAAAGGGAGGGGTATTAAATGCTAAATGTAATATCAGAAAAATGCTAAAAAGTAGCATTTTAAATATAATTACAAATCGTTTATCGATATGAAATATGTGAATTTGCTGACGATAATAACACCACTTATAAACCTCTGTGAAGTTGGCATCTCATGTCTCAAAAAATCTTTTTATTTCAGTTCTGAATGCACCCCGAAGAGTTCTAGAGTTCCTTATCAATTTTAAAAATAGTTCTGGCGAATTAACCTAAAAAAGTTAAATTTGAAACTTGGGGATGCTAACTTCACAAAATGAAATCTCGAAATCAGCGATAACACTAAAAGTATTGGAAATATTTAATTTTGCCATTAGGA